AGTGTAAACTAGATCATTTAAACCAAAAACATGTGTTGGTACCAGGCTGTAAACATGTTTATTTCTGCTGTGAAATTGGTATTTTTACATGGGAGTCAATGAGGATTTGCTCGCTTCTGACACCAGCCCCCAGCGGATGAGGGTGGAACTGCAATTTATTTCACTTCCGCATTGGCCTCAATTTTTGTCCCGCATTGTGGGGGCTTGGGTACTATACAGTTCCAAAATGTTTCTAATGTGGTACAGGTTCTAATGTGGTTCTAATATGGTACCATACAGTTCCGAAGTGTTTCTAATGTGGTTCTAATGTGGTACCATACAGTTCAAAAGTGTTTCTAATGTGGTACTGGTTTGAATGTGGTTTTAATGTGGTACCATACAGTTCTAATGTGGTTCTAATGTGGTACCATACAGTTCCAAAGTGTTTCTAATGTGGTACCGGTTCTATTGTGGTTCTAATGTGGTACCATACAGTTCTAACATGGTTCTAATGTGGTACCATACAGTTCTAATGTTGTTCTCATGTGGTTCTAATGTGGTACCATACAGTTCAAAAGTGTTTCTAATGTGGTACCGGTTCTAATGTGGTTTTAATGTGGTACCATACAGTTCTAATGTGGTTCTAATGTGGTACCATACAGTTCCAAAGTGTTTCTAATGTGGTACCGGTTCTATTGTGGTTCTAATGTGGTACCATACAGTTCTAAAATGGTTCTAATGTGGTACCATACAGTTCTAATGTTGTTCTAATGTGGTTCTAATGTGGTACCATACAGTTCAAAAGTGTTTCTAATGTGGTACGGTTCTAATGTGGTTTTAATGTGGTACCATACAGTTCTAATGTGGTTCTAATGTGGTACCATACAGTTCCAAAGTGTTTCTAATGTGGTACCGGTTCTATTGTGGTTCTAATGTGGTACCATACAGTTCTAATGTGGTTCTAATGTGGTACCATACAGTTCTAATGTTGTTCTAATGTGGTCCTATTGTGGTACCATACAGTTCCAAAGTGTTCTAATGTGGTACTGGTTCTAATGTGGTTCTAATGTGGTACCGTTTCTAATGTGGTACCGGTTCTAATGTGGCACCATACAGTTCCAAAGTGTTTCTAATGTGGTACCATACAATTCTAATGTGGTTCTAATGTGGTACCATACAGTTCTAATGTGGTTCTAATGTGATACCAGTTCAAATTTAGTTCTAATTTATAATAATAATAATAATAATAATAATTATTATTATTATTATTATTATTTCCTAAAGCTGACATAACCTCACTTACATAACTGCCATCATACTATTCTGTTTGTCTGTCTAATTGTGTTTCTGATTGCTTATTTAATAATTTTACCACATCTGTCTGCACCACATTCTGCACACGCCTCAAAGTTCCTCACAATTACTCACTGTAACTTAAATGTTTGTATTTTTATTGAATCCATTTTTTTTTACCCTTTAACATTTGTCTTTGCGCCATCGTGTCTTTAGATTTCAGTTAGTGATGAATTACCACTATGGTTTTAAATGCTCCTGCAGTACTTTCTAGGTTTCCACAAATGTAATGTTAGTTGAATGAATGGAAGCAGAAAAGTCTAATCCAAAACCCAAGACAACCAGAAGGTGCATAATGGGAATGTTTTTATTCAGATATATGATTTATATTTTTATTTCAGCTGATGCTAATCAGCTATCTGGATAAAAGAATAAAACTCTATTTGTCATTGTTTAAACATTAAACCTCTTAAATGAAATACCGTAAATCCTCTAATACAGGCCCGGGCCTGTATTTGACTCAAGCTCACCAAGCTCCAGGCCTTTATTGGAAGGAGGACCAGAATTGGAGGCAGGCCTCAATTTCTATTTGAGCAAAAGTAACTAATGGTTCGCTGGAGTTTTTGACAATTAAAATTGCGCCCACATTTTCAAAGTTAAACACATTTCTTTTAACAATGGTAGTTTCTGCTTCAGCCCTCTCCCCCCCTCCCCCCTGCGCAGCCGGCTGCAAACTCACTGATGCGCCTGCAGCCTCTCAGAGTTCCTGCTGCTCTAAACATTAAAATAATTATTTCATTTTCTGTTCCTCACTTCTGATTACCTTCAATGGTGTCTGTTTGATGCAACCACCAGGTACAAAAACTAACTTGTTTTTATTTGACAATTTTTCTGTCCTGCCTGTTTATTATCTTCCTGCATCTCCTCTCAATCCTAAAGAAAAACTGCTACCTGGGTTCATATATATTCACCTTATGAGTTACCTTTGAACTGCAGTTCTAAAAGATCTACCAACCGCAAAAAACAGTGGAGTTCTCGCCGGCCACATCAGTTAGGTGCGTCACCAAGGACAAAACAGGTGAAGCACCCCCGATCCACAGCAGCGAAACGCATCAGGCGCAAATAAAAGACAGAAAACATAAAAGGAAATGAGCCGACATGAACGACTCGCGTGTTAAATTAGTTTTCAGGTGGTGACACCTGATTTGATGTTACTGTGGCCGTGCTCAGGACGCAGATGTCTGGAGCGCGTCAACAATCAGAGCTTTGCATGCGCAAGCTGGTTAAGGTTAGGATGGGGGTGAGGGGAATGTTAAATTGCAAGAGGGGTAAAGGTCACAATTTGGTTAAATGTCCGTTTTACGGCGCGGTGTCAGTACCGACGCTCTGGCACTGCGCGTTGCCTCCCGAGCGCAGGAGCTTGTCACCTGCTGACAGCAGGCTGCTGTCTTTTCCGAGGGGCTGCATCTTGCGGTCCATTATCACGTGACAGCGACTAGTCGATGACAGGCATAAAAAGTCACTATAGTGAAGTCGACCAGTGACTAGTTCATACAACCCCTGCTACTGCTCCCCAGAGTGTTCTGCAGCATAATCAGCACGTTCTCTTTGAACTTGATATCAAATTTTCGCCTCCTCTTCGTCTCCCGCACGGTTAAAGTTACCCTCGCGGTCTATCACTGGCAAATCAAAAGTGAGACGGATGACACAACCGCCCCCGTACTTGCTTGTTACCACATTCCACCTGGCCACCAATAAAAAAACGGCCATTATTCACCTCCGCCAACTCCGATACCGGCCAAAATATGATACCCGGCAGTTAATTAAATACAGGCTAATATTAGAGGATTTACGGTAGTTTCTTATGCTAAAGCTTTTGTGTGGAAAACCTTGTTTCTTTTCTTTGATCAGTTAATAATTACAGTTATTTACAATTATTAGTTTCCTTTTAAAGTTGTTTTTATTGGTTGAAGGTTACAATAATAACTAAGTTTGTGTATTTACCTGTAATCTAGTTTTAATTTTCTTCTTCCGTTTCTATGTGCTGTTGTGACGAGTGAATTTCCTCATTGTGGGATTAATAATGTCTATTCTATTCTATTCTATTCTATTCTATGTTGGTTAATTTTGCTCCTGTCACTCAGACACTCACTTGCATGTGTCTAATTTGAACGTCGGGGTGTTTTTTTTTTTTTTTTTTTGCTGTAAAGCCTTTAAAACCTGATGTTTAGGGTAATGGCTTTGTATTTTCTGTCCTTTTTTCTCACTGTAGTGAAGCAGAAAGAAGCCTTAGAGAAGGAGGCGAAGGTCAGCATCCTGGAGGCTGGAGTTGCAGACGTAAGTAAACAAGTCTGAATTTTCACTTTCTGACTGAAGTTGGAAGATATGACTGGAATGTCAATCCCAATAAAAGTGGACTCCACGGAGGTTTTCAAACACTTAAAGAAGACTTTTTGCTTTAGATGAGTTATTAGAGACTCATATGTTCTAGTTTCAGTCATGTGCATCATGGGAAATCGATACCAACATAGAGTGGCAAGTGAGAAAGTTTCACCTCAATGAAAATTTAACAGCAGTTTCAAAGTTTAGTCCCTCCTGTCATCTCTGAGAACGGCCGTCCTCCATCTCCAGCAGCAAATGGACTGCGGAGCATCCTCACTCACTTATTGATTGAAGAGTTATTTAGTAATAATGATGGCGTGCTGCTCACCGAGCATCTATAAGTGGCAGGAGCAAGGTCTGAGAAAAGAAGATGGAAGGAGAAAATGATGGGAGAAAAGTTGTAGGATGGAGGTGAGGGATGGAGTGGAGGGTCCATCTAGGTGATCGATACCGAGCTGCAAACGGGAGTACGTTTGCTGTGTGTGTGTGTGTGTGTGTTTTGGGGGGGGGGGGGGGGGGGGGGTAGAAAATCCCTCCAAGAGGAAGAAGCTCCCAGCATCCATCTTCCCTTCATACTGTGTTTATTAGAGCTTTATCACACACTGTAAAGTAGGAATATTTGCATACTTCATCACAATGACAGGCTGAAAATAAAATAGATGAGAAGTTAGTTTCTCAGCAGTGCAGAGAGAGAGAGAGATTTGTTCTCTTTCAGATGTGTGTGCTCTACTTAAAACGCCAGAGCGTTGGCTTGATTCAGTCAGTGGAAAAGTGTCATCGTTACCTTCTACCAAAGCAATATTATAGAATTCAGGATTTATGATGAGAAAGCTGTAATAAAAGAATGAAAAGAGACAAAGACTTTAAACAATACAACTGGTTATGGATCAGTGAGGTAATGATTCCACCTGTTAAACACAAAAGGGTGAACTAGATGTGTTTTAGGAGGAGAGAATGACATCATCAGCCTCAGGGTTGTTTTAGGCGTGCTAGGATTCAGCTCACGGTTCAGCACCCCTAAAACAGGATAGAAAAGTTATAGTAAATCACCAGAGGAAGTGATAGATTAACTTTTTATTGAATATTTATTTTAGATGTATTTGAAATGTTTACCTCAGAGGAAACAGCATTTTATCTTAAACCCTAACTCAATACAGCAATATCGCTGGTAACAAATAAAATATAGTAATAGTGAAAATGACTAACCAGTGATGTTGAGGGAGGTTTCAGGGTTAGTTAGCTGGTCAACTTGTTTTGTTGGTTGTTTGCAGATTAACAGATCCTGTTGATGGTCTAAAAACTTTGCTGCATTTTTAAATTTGTCTTTTAAAATCTTTTAGTCAACTTTGTGTCTCTGACCTGCAAATGAAGCCTTTCATCCTGATCTAAGGCCCCAAAACATTCAGTTAATAATTATAAAACAGTTATTTTCTAAGGCTCCAAGCTATTAAACTGCCCTATGCATTGTTTTTTGCTCTTAACCCTTTAGGCCCTAGGCCTTTTTTCTTTGGGCCCTGGAGCCTACCAATTGGGGGCCTTTGGAGTTTCATGTCCCAAGTGTCAGTGATTGTTTGCATTCCTCGAGCACAGCTACAGCTACAATCAAAACAGTTTAGATTGTAAACAAAGCAATTTTTGTTTTTTGATACATTAAGATAAAATAATACTTGAACTTTATTTTAGAAGAGCTGCCCTGTGTGAAGGTGCTCACAGGATGGAGGTTGTGAGTTCAAATTCCATTTAGGAAATTTAGTCAATTGTTTTATTTATTCCAGGGGTCCTCAACTAAATTTGTTCAAGGTTTGTTTGTTTTTTTTCCAGCAAAAACCACTGAAGGTCAGAAGCTCTTCTAAACTAAAGTTCAAATATCATTGTATCTTAATTTAATACAATTTAAAATGGCCATGTTTCCCATCTGGGCTGTTTGATTGTGGTTTTAGTTGTGTTTGGGGAATGTGGACAGTTGTAGATGTTTGGGACATGAAACTGTAGAGGCCCCCAATTGGGGGGCGTTAGGGTTAAACAGGTTAACTGGTTAAACAAGTTGAACTGTAGCATCTTTTTTCTGGTTTCATGTAATTAAAAAACAATTTTAAAAGATGCTTTTAAAGTTTTGTGTTGCAGAAAATGTAAAAAGTAATTTTTCATGAATCCTAATAGTGAGGCACCAGGCAGATTATGTAGCGTCTGAATTTTCAGCCATTGTGTCATGTTGGAGCGGTCTTCGTGTCTGGTTCAGCTTTATTGGAATGACTCAGCGAATCTCCTGCTGCTCACTGCGGGGCGTTCATGAGCGGTGGCAGCTCCTTCAAATGCCTTGCACATCATTTTTCAGAGAGAATGCAGCAGAAATGCATTTTTGTCATAATGTCTTTTTCCTTTTGAATTCAGGACATTTTCATGCTCCATGCTTGGATTTTCCTTTCCGCTCTGACTCTGAATGTAAGCACATGCAGGAACACTTGAATGCATCCAAGGATGCAGGATGTGGGTGCAGTGCTGACATGTTATTTTGCTGTGAAATCTGTATATTTATCAGTGTGTCTGAAGCTCAACAAACCCTTGACTTTTTTCCCTCAGCTCATCATTTTGTTTCCTCAAACTGAAATCCTTTCCTCGAAGCACTAATTTGTGCTCTCAACACGAGCGACTTGTAAATTGTGACCCCCTTCTCTTTCTCTACCCAGTTACGAGGTCTAGCTGCTATTCAAGGACCGTCAATGAGTTGTTAGAATTAAATAAAAACAGGTTTATCAGAATTTCCAAAGGATTAGCACCATGTTTCTAATTTAGTTAGCAAGTATTCATCAGGAATGTGCCTTTTTACCTTCTGTTGAGGATTTACTGAATGGTGGAAAGTAAAGTTTGTCTTTCAGACAATCAAAGCTACAATAAAATAACACAATAACAGCAGAGACAATAATAATAAAATTACTAAAACATAAAAAAATACTTAATGCTAGAAGTCTGGTGGAACAAAAATGTTTTTATTGCGTTTTCAAAGAATTCACAGAGTCAATCAAGCGATCATGACACTGTTCATATGGTTTGGAAGAAAAGGACTGAAACCCAGGAGGTGAGCTGGGAGACTTTAAAAGGATCCTGAACTCAACGGGGAGCTGGTGCAGAGACACTTGAGATGCTGAGTTTGGCTGCCCAGTTTTTTACTTTTTAAAGACGTGTGAGAGTGTGTCTGGTCCTGTGGACAGGGTGTTGCATTAATCTAATATGGTGACATAATAGTCTCTAATTCAGCAGATGAAACCATGAAATGCAGTTTAGAAATGTTCTGACAAAAGCAGGAGTGGGAAACAGATCTAACATGTGACTTGGAGCTCAGTGAGGAATCGAACACTGCTCTCAGACTTTAGACAACAGGGAATGATGGTCCTATTTATTTAGATGGATCTCTAATCATGGTCTCGGTCCTCCTGGTGTTTAAGGTGAGATCATTCCTGGAGAACCAGTAACTGACGAGGGTTAAATACTGGACTGGTGTGAACATCCTAGGATTAAAGGACATCCAGACACATGCTTGTTGGGTTATTTGGCATCTCTAAACAGTCTCTATGAGAACAGTTGTCCATCTCTGTGTCCCTGTGAGGGACTGTTTGTTTGTCCAAGGTGTCCCTGCCCCTCGTCCAGTGAAGCCAGGGGCTGCTGTCCTTTTTAGTTTAGTTTTCAAATGTAAACAGAAGTAAAAAAAAAAAAAAAAAAAAAAAAAAAGCAGACCAAAGGTTTCAAATAATATGTGATGTAGCGACTTCCACAGTCGCTGTAGAGGCAGAGATTGGGCCCAGGTCTGTTTGTTTGTCTGCTTTGATTAATTCACTGAGAGGTGGAATGCTTTTGTCCATTTTATTGTTACAGGTGACACTTAATTCTTGTCAAAGCCTTAAACATAACGGTGACTATAAACGGAGTAAAACAAACTGAATTATGATGTGATTAACTGAACATTTGCGGTCAACAAAAACTACGGCTGCCCAGCCCTCCTTTATCTGTCAAAAATCACCCGGTGACAAAATGACAGCTCCTTTTAATCCGCCCACACCCATGTGACCATTATTGCGTCGCCATGACAACAAAAGGGGAAGTAAGAATGAAAACCCCAATAATCAACTCACCCAAGATATATTAAATGTGATCCAAAGTATTTCACTCTAAAGCTCGACAGTACAATTGATCTCAGCTACTTAAAAACATTCTAGAAAGAAAAACAGCAGCGAACGTCTCTACTAGTAGAAGCTAACCGTTAGGATTAGCAACTCCACCACACAGTAGAACTCCTCCAGGCTTGTGCCATTTGTGGAGGTATAACATCAACGTTGCAGAGCAAACAGAGTCAGTGGTAGAGTTGTGTTGCTGTTAGCCATTCTGAAGAGAGAAGTCCATATATCAGGAAATAAGAGTCCTAAAGCTCAGCAGTGATGTGGCTCAGTTCTACTTCCTGGAAATGGTGCAACGACTTTTCTTCCCTAGAGTTCATTCTTACTAGGCCACTGCAAATATATGATTAAATGAGCATCCAGCACCTTTTAAACAAAAGCGAAAAACCATAACTGATCAAATTAACTCATTTAATAATTTTATTTCTTTTTTATTTTATTTATTTATTTTTGTTACATGTTTTTATAATTATTTTCAAAAATTTATTTATACATACATACATAATCCCCTAAGTCAAGACAAGGAAGTAATAAAAAAACAACAACAACAACAACAGCAACAATAAATACACAGCACTCACCGGGGCAAAAAACATCATTACATTATATTGTTATCACTCTATGTCAGGTCAAAACCTCCATTTCTTAGGAGTCAGTTATGGCTTTAAATGTTCTATAATTGGTCTCCAAATGTTATAAAACTGGCACTGGGAGCCTGTCACATCATATTTCAATTTTTCAATATGAAGGATCCCTATTAGCTCCCTCAACCAGGTTTCGAAACTC